CCTTAAGAAATGATGATTTTATAAGGAAGAGAATAACATATTACTACTTTTATATTATATGAAGTATCAGTAATAGGTAGGAAATTAATTAACAAAACTGAGTGTATTTATTAAATGGAAAAATAAACGTAGGCAGGTATTAATAAATTTAGACAATTTCTTGCCTACTTTCCTTTCACAATTAACAAAACTTATTTTGCGGTTGAGATCTCGCAATCTTATGTAAATTCGCGTAGTTCTACAGAGACATAGAACGACTTCATAAGGGACTAAAGCTGAATTTCTTAATTTGGCTACTGTCTGATCGGCCAATTTGTGAAATATGTTTGTTTCTTTTGACAGTGATGACCATGCATTGCAAGGAATTCATTCTCGAGCACCAATGCAGTATGAAATAAATTATTATCATTTAGATATAACAATGAACCTTGAGATGCAACAGTCAGCCATTCTGGTCCTTGTGTAACATTTAGCTTGCTTGTTGAAATACTAACGTATATTTATTTCTATATTTGTAAGCAAAGTATCCCGCAACAGATGTGGATAACAACACCAATATTGCCAGTGATAGTGACGACGACATTCCATTGTCGCATTTTGTAAAATATAGGAAAAAAAGTAATCATTGGGTACAAGAAGATATTACAAGTAAGTTGCCCAGCTGGCAAAAGGAATGCGTTGCCAATAATAATGCTCAAACTTTAGATATGTTTTATCTTTTTTTTGATGATGAACTATGGCAAATGATAACTAACTTTACCAATCTTTACGCTGTACAACACAATAGAAATGGAGATATATCCATTGATGAAATAAAGTGTTTTTTTGGTGTTCTAATTTATAGTGGCTACACTAGCGTCTCTAGAAGATCATTATATTGGGAAAATTGTTCCGACGCACACCATAATATTGTATATGAAGCTATTTCCAGAAATCGCTTTAATTTTATTATGCAAAATCTACATTGCAATGACAACACACATCTAGATTTGCACAACAAATTTTCTAAAATTAACCCTCTTTTGAATCATCTGAGCCAAAAGTTCATAGAACATGCTCCATTGCAAGAAAATCACAGCGTGGACGAGTTCATGATCCCGTATTTTGGGCGACATGGTTCGAAACAATTCATTAGGGGTAAACCCATTAGATGGGGTTACAAATTCTGGATGGCAACAACTACAAAAGGTTACATTGAGTGGTTCGAACCATATCAAGGTTCTAGTACTAATCTGGACGAGCGGTACAAAGACTTAGGTTTGGGTACAAGTGTAGTTCTATCTTTTGTGGACAAACTTGTTTCAGAAAAAGGTCGTCTACCCTTTCACTTGTATTTCGACAATTTTTTTTCTTCTTGGGATCTGCTATTAGTTCTAAGGGACAGAGGTATAAAAGCCATACGAACTCTAAGGGAAAATAGAATAACTGTTCCTGTAATAAAATCTGGTTTAGATCTGAAAAAAACAGAAAGAGGATGTTTTGAGTACGCCTTAGAAAAAACCGAAAACATTTTAGTATGCAAGTGGAACGATAATAATATCGTCACAATGTGTTCCAATTGTGAATCTGTTTTTCCAACACATACTGTATCAAGATTCTCTCAAAAAGAAAAGAAAAAATATCTATACTTCAACCAAAAATGATCAAAAAATACAATCAAAATATGGGAGGTGTAGATAGAGCAGACCAAAATCTAAGTCTTTATAGAGTTAATATTAGAGGCAAGAAGTGGTATTTTCCACTGATTAGTCACTGTCTTGACATGGCAATCCAAAAATATCCTAAAATATCATTTTAGAAGATCTCTTGCTACTGGAATTTTAGAAACTCACAAGAAGAAAACCAAACGAGGACCTGTACGACCCAATGCTCATGATAGAGAGTTATCTCGATTTGATGGAAAAGATCATCTTGTGGTTTATCATGAGAGCCAAATAAAATGCCGCCATTGCCACAAAAAAGTTCAATTTAGGTCCAATAAATGCAATGTAGGTTTGCATCCAAAACATTGCTTTTTTGAGTTTCATACGCAATAAGTTTTTTTTTGTTAGAAAATATGTTTGTTTTTTTTAGAAAATGATATTTGTGAATCTAATATTTTATTTTTGGCTTATTCTCCTGGATTCATATGTAATTATATTTAAATAAAAATCATTTTTATATTATGTACCATTGTTTTTATTTTCTTAGCCCCTAATCCTTTAAAAAGGATGGTCAATATTAAGAAAACTATATATCAAAAAAAAAAATTTTATTAACAAAATATGTTAAATATACCCTAAATAAGTGGTTTTTATAAAAAAAAACCGACCTTTTAAAAAAAATAGTTTTGGGAGTATTTGGGTTAACCCGCCGGCAGTCCTTGGGGAAAGCTTCTTAATTAGAATAGATCCAAATTCTAGAGCAGAAAGTGTTTCTTTATAAAAAATTCGCGTAGAATCTGTCTTTCTATATTGGAGCCATTTTATTTTTAGCCAATTAACACTTCCTCCTGTTTCATTTTTGTTTCGATTTTTAATTACCGTGGAGGAAAAATGTTTAAAATTTAAAATCGCAATTCAGTTACGATAAATCACCTTTTGGAGACTAATTTTCATTGTCATAGGTGGTTTATTTGAACATGTGTTTTTTATGCAACCGGCCGTTAGTATAGAATTAGATAATTAAACAATATACACAGTATACCTGAAATGGTTGCCTTTAAAACATCAATAGAGGATTTGTCATGGATCTACTTATCACTTTAATGAAAAAATGTTCCTCACATATTTTTTTTTCAATTCCGTTAATTAACCCAATAATTTGTTATGTTGTACTTACCAGGCAGTGGCTCAGGGGTTAGCGTAGCAAAAATTAAATCTTCAGTTTTACTATTGGAGCTGAAATCGCCTTCGTTGCCGTTGTGCCAGTTCAACCAATAGTTTGCTTGTTGCACTCATTTTTAATTAAAATAAACGCACTTTGCACAGCAACACTCACTGAATGACTGAAGAAAACCACATAAGAAATCCTGTCCAGACTTGCAATACGTGGATTAAAACTGTTCACTACTGTTGAAGTACGATCGCGGATAAATGGTATTATCATAGTAAACAGTCCTAAACCGCTTGGGACTTTTCACCATGGAAGATCTGTGGCTTATAACATTTAGTAAATATGCTATTACCAAGGTCAGTGGCTTATAGATCCATTGACCAGTATGAAATTTGAACATTTTAAAATATGTTAACAGTCACAACTCAAAAATGGCAATTGTGTGGATTAGGACTATTCACCACTAGGGCGACGATTTGTATCACGCTTCAGGCATAATTTTCTGCGATTATTGTAATCCTCCTAATGTACTACAAACATTCTAATAAATTGTTTATTAAAGGTTGAACACAAAAAAATCGGAACATCCGAAAAATGCTGCCATTTATTTATTATACGAGTAACAATTTTCAAAACTTCAGTGAATTACGTTAAAAGTGTATGTATACAGTGTCCCTTACGAAGAGCGTCAGTTAGACGTTGTTTGGGAAAATTTTCCACATAAAAGTGCGATGCGTTATGAGTCGAATTTCATAATTTTTCAAAGCGCGAATTTTTCCTTTCACTACGGAAGATGTATGGTAAAATTTGTACATACACACATTAATTTGTTGTGTTTTTTTTCAGATTCCGTAAGTGGTTTCACCTCTCTTATTCTGTACCTACTAGATAATCCGATCTAAAAAGGTGAGTTTCTACCTACTGCTTACATGAAATAAATATTTTGTAGCTACAAAATATTCAAGTACCTATAGGTTAAAAAAAATAGATTGGAGGACTTTGAGAAATGTTCATTTGTAGGAAAACACGTAAATATGAAACTTTTACACTCTACGTAAAAATTGTTACGTTTATTTTGCACTTATATTTCGCGTAGATTGAGTGCTAATTTTTTTTGATTTTATACTGTACCGCGTTGTGAATTAAAATAATGAAAAGGTTTTAATCGTAAAATTGCAGTAGTAGCGTGTTGCCCTACGCGAAAATAAAAAAGGGCATATGAGAGTGTCATTCTCTTCGATCTTGTCGCTTGAGAAAGAATTTGCTAATCACGTATTGATTTTATGTCCGTTTTCTTTCTTTGGAATTCATTAAATATTTATTCCCTTTTAATGCTCATATCGATCAACTGCCTGTTGTTTTAATAAATTAGGAAATCTAAGTTGATTAAAGCTGCAATCTCTAATGGGTTTAGTCGTCAAGAAACTTTTTGTGGATTGTAACGGTGGGCTAGGCTGGCGCTTCTGTAACTCAAATCCGCCGCATAAACGACCAGCTAGCTCAGGGTTGTAGAATAAAAGGCTTCGGTCGACTTCTAACCAAGTTCAAAATCGTTTACGTTAACTGCTTCGTAAGGAAAGCAGTGTACCTAACCAAAAGAATAACGCGTTCAAAATCGAGATCATATCCCGGCAGAGACTACAATGTTTGACACTAGAATAATGTGGTTCAAAAGTTATTTAAGTTCGAAAATCTATATCCTTGAAGAGGTGACCAAATTATGAATTACAAGTAAACGGCGATCTACATTTCTACGAAAGTAACCGCTATTATGTTCCTTGAAGAGGAAATATTCAATTGAATAGATTATTCTAGCTAGGGGTTTCAATAAAATATTCCTAATCCTACGTCCACCTGTCAAGGTTACGGGAAGGCCGACCTGGTTTTTGAGTAAGCTTCACAATGACATGGATGGACACAACTGGAGAACCTTGTACCGGGAGTTAATGGACCAATGAACGAAAACGAATGACAGATTACAGATTGACATGAAGTTAGGCACGCTTGTGCGCAACTCACATGCTCAAAAGTGACTATATCGACATGGATCTGACAAAAAGACGTAAGCGCCAAAAATTCAAAATTGAGATTATGTTTCTTAGACATTAATTTGCAATTGCCGCGTGATATTGTATAGTCAGTGTAAGCGACATTCTATTAGAATATGTATTTATTTGACTTTAAAGTTTTCGTAAGCGCCATTGGGTTGTTGCGCAAGTTCAAAGCTAGTCATTTGCACGACGCGTAACCGGCAGTGTCAACGTGTATTGTGAACGTAGTTTTTTAATGGAAAAAGTAGTTTTGAGGTAAGTTATAACTGTGTAGTTAATATTTAAGGTATTTTGCTAACATTTAATAAATAATAGTAAGAATACAATTGTAAAACAAACACCATAGAGGTTAAAATTTGGTAGTGTCGCTTACGCCTTTTTAGTATGACTATTCATAAAAGGCGTAAACGCCAGTGCTTATGGCTACCTTAACGTAAAAATAAAACATTTTTATTTCCGTATGTATATTAATAATTTTCCATAAGTAGTACATTTATTTAAAGCACATCTGCCACAGGTCTCAAAATAATAAACCCTATATGCATAATAATCTTTTTTAATTGACGTATTTAGTGTTAAAGTTTCTGTTAAAAATAGTCGCTTACGCATAGTCTAATTTTCAGATCATAAAATGAGTGCCAGGACCAACAAAATACTGCAACTATGCACTGAAGCTTCAAGAAAACCTTTATTACAAGCTCTCGAACATGACTTTATTTTTGTAGATGACTTGATACCTGAAAATTTGACTAGCGATGTGTTACTTAGCGAAGTAGCAGATACTATTCCTCAAGTCTCTGAACATGATCTAGTGGGTATGAATCCACAAGAAGAACATTATACCTATACCGACCAAAGTCTTCAAGTTTTAGAAATCGGTGTTGTAACGGACACTCATAATGATAAATTATCTACCGTTAACCCAAATGATACAAATTCTTCGCCTTCTGCTGCTGCGATTCATAATCAAAAATTATGTTCCCCCTCTGCTGCCCCAAGCACAAATGTATCATCTTCATCCAGTGCGTTTGAAACATCAATAGAAACAGGAAAAAGGGGAAAGAGAAGAAGGAAGGTGTTATCTGAAAAGACCCAAAATAAAAAAAATAGAAACAAAGGTGCCCCATACACCAATTATAAAGGAGTAACAAAGGATGCTAGACAAGTAAAATGTAATCCATGCAAAGTCCGTAAAGATCGGTGCAGGAACAAGTGCAATGAGTTTTCCGAAGTAGAACGTCAAGAAATTTTTGACAATTTTTGGATGATTGGCGATCACGATAAACAATTGTCGTTTATAAATGGATGCGTAGGAATAAAATCTGTGAAACGCAAAAGAACCAAAAAAGAAAATTCTCGGCGTAATTCGACATTTGAACATTTTTTAACTAAACGTGACGGTATCCAGTATAAAGTCTGCCAACATTTCTTTATAAATACTCTAGACATAACACAAAGAGTTATAAGAACGGCAGTAAAAGGAAAAGTAGCGGACTTCAGCGACCAACGGGGAAAGCACGAACCCAAACATAAAATCACTAACACGCAAAGAAATAATTTAAGAAAGTTTATTAATTCATTACCAGCAGTCCCCTCTCATTATTGTAGAGGTTCTACGACAAAACTTTATTTACCTGCCGATATTAGATCCTTTACCAACTTGTACAATTTGTATTCTAGTCACGTACGGAAAGAAGAAGCTGAGCCTGTAGCATACACTACTTTCAAGAGAACTATACACAAGGAATATAATATTGGCATTCACGTTCCCAGGAAAGACAAGTGTGTGAAATGCCTAAAATATTCTCAGCTTTCCGAAGCGCAAAAAACAGAAAAACTTAAACAAGGGTATGGATCAGCACATTAAAGAGAAAGACGAAGCAAAAGAATTTTTCTTAAGTGAACAACAGAAATCGAACAGTAACAAGTACATAGTCGCTACTTTTGATCTACAGAAGGTACTTTCTACACCACATGGTCCCGGAATGGTGATTGGTTTCTCAAGAAAGTATGCCTACTACAATTTCACAATTTACGAAAGTGGTACCAGAACTGGGTACTGTTTTGTATGGGGTGAAAGAGATGGTCAGCGTGGATCCAATGAAATATGTACACACCTTTACTGGTATCTTACACAAGTGGATAAATCAGGTTTATATGAACACGTAAGTTTATTTTGTGACAGTTGTTCCGGGCAGAACAAGAATAAGTTTGTTTTCACTACAATTTCATATTTTTTGAGCGAAGCTCAAAACGTTAAAACAGTTTTGTTGACCTTCCTCGTACCAGGTCATACTTACATGCCTGTTGATAGCATGCACGCTACTATTGAAAAACATATACGAAAAATGAATGTCCAGGCACCTTCTGAATGGCCTACAATTTTGAGAAATTGTAGAAAGAAACCTTCACCATATATTGTTCGCTCTGTTTCATATTCCGAATTTTTAAACTGGAAAGAAATTTCAAATTGCAAAAAATTGAAAGCTACAACAGGTGAACAAATAAAATTTGCTGAAATAAAATCGGCTGAATTTGACAGTCAACCTAGCGTTGTAAAATTACGGTTAGGTTACCGCATAGATGATCCAGTTTACAATGTAAAACTAAGTGTTAAAAAAGTGATCCCTTCTCAATTATATCACGAAGAGCTTCCTATTAATGATGAAAAGCTGAAAAACTTAACCAATTTGTGTAAAACCGGTGTTATCAGCAGTCAATATCATTTTGAATATTTGGCCTTAAAATCATCTGTCTCCGTTGAAGATACTCTTCCAGAAACGGATGTAGAAGATGAATTTTAAGCCATAACTCTAAAAAAACTATTTTTATACCTTCTATTTTTGTCGTTGTTGAATGTTCATGTCAGTTTATAGAGAGATATATTTTTTTTCAATAAATTTTACTGTTTTTTTGAAATCAGTTTTTCCGATATTAATTTGTTCTATTGAGTTTAGAAATGCGTATCCGACAGTAATAAAAAATTTTCATAAGTTTATAAAAGACGCAATTGCCGCTTAAGCGCCATAATTGTTTTGTTAGTAAGATATCAAAAACGCGTAAGTGCTGTCAAATAGAGACGTAAACGCCACTCATCAGATACAAAAGACTTAAGCGACATTTTTTTTAAATTACAAGAAAATTTAGCAATTGTCATAGAAAGTAATTCTTTAGTATTGAACAAGAACGTGTTTCAAGTAGCTAGGATCAAGACAGTGACTTAATTCAAATTCTATAAACAACAAATCAGTTTTTTCATCACTGCACAAATTGTGTACAACACCGCTTACGTCTTTTTGTCAGATCCACGTCGATATAGTTGGGGGTAAACACTGTGTGTTGTCTAAATCACCAGCGTTGGCAAACCCCACATAAGTATGTATTCGGATCTCAGGCAAATAATGCAGTGACCGTAAAACCAAAATAACCAATACGTGGATGAGAAAATAAACTGTTTTAGCATTTTGTGACTTGTCATTCGTCTTCGTTTCTATATGATCACTATCGGACAAAAGTAAATAATAATAATAGAGATTTATTGCCCCGCAGAACAGACATTCCAATAACAGGAGAATACATATTTAATAGTTAACGCGCAATTATGTAGTGTAATAAGAAAAAAGAAAGAAACACGACAAAAACTCAAAATCTTAACATAACTAAACAACAAAATAATTAAATTCATATCTCAACAAAAAAAAACAAAATTACGGTGTAGACAAACTGCAAGTTACATTATAGGCATGAAAAATAAAGAGAGCAGGTGTAACGTGACATTTTCACTGTGACATATATCTTCGAAGCACGGCGGATATTTCAGATAAAGTATCATGGTGAATGTCGCACAAACTAGAAATGTTATTGAATCTGTGACACATCTGCTGGATAGGTGCTCTCTTTAGCAAAACTCTTACAAAAATAAGAACTATTTAATTATTAAAAATGTAATTGGCATTAACGAAGATAAAACACAATTCGGTTTAAAAGTGCATAGTAGGCTACTTTGGTTTCATTCCTATTGCAATAAGAACTCTATAACACTCGTAAGTGCAGGTGGTCAATCAACTCTGAAACTGTTAAGTGATCTGAAGCGCGCACGTGGTAAAATGGGAAAATCTGTAATAATGAAAGTGGAGAGTGTTGGGGAGGGGGGGGGGATAATGGCTACGAAACAATATTGTGTTTGATCGTTCTATCAGGGGATGTCATCTTTTTAAATTTTTGTCATTTTTTATTTTGCATTTTCGCTGATTAAAATCCTAGCCCTCTAGTAGTAAGAATTAGTGAACAAGGCAAATGATCACATTACAAAGTTTACACAATGGATGAGAACGGAATTAAGACCCTCAGACAAAGACATAATTGTTTCTAACGCCAGAGATAGTACAGGCGTTTTTGGGCAGAATCGGTGAAATATAAGCATCTGGATAGCTTTCCAATAATTTAGAGAAGAATTTGATTCCGACACACTTGAACGATACGCCCATCTGCTAAATTTACTTGGAAGCTTCAATGCTCACGATAGATCATTTCGAACGTATGCATGTAAATGGGGGGCACCAAGTATGCCTATGCTCATAGAGGCTTCATTTTTTTTTATATTAAAATGGGCCTTTCTGAAACTGCCGCCATTCCCAATGCCATGGTTTACTTTAAGTTTTGTTATTAATTGACAACGATTACTTTACACGTTGTTTCATACACAAAAAATTTCTCGTATTCTATTTTATTCCGGCGCGCCGGTAGTAAAAGTAACACACGTCATTTAATTTAATTTACAATCTTGGCAACTTAAGACACTTCTCTCATAGAACGAATTAAAATTCACATTTGAAAATACTGCGCTTGTTCAGTCAAATCAGAAATTATTTTTGTTATTAATTAATTGTAAACTGAGATTTATACAAAATATATTTAATTTAAAATTTCCCTGGCTCGATGTTATCGCGTTTAGCAAGACAGCCTTGTTATTGTCCCCGCCGAGAAGAGTCGCGCGCATTCGCCAAGAGGAAGTTTTTGGACTTGATCTGCAAGACTCAACAAAACGCGTGCGCTGATATAAAGGTACATTTTCTCTCTCGTGTGTGACACCCCCCAAAATACTTGACAAGAAAAACGTGCACCAAAATCGCCCATCATCCACTTACTGCGCGGACAGCCAGGTAGGCAATTTTTGTTTTTAATAACTAATAAGGTTGTCTTTGTGCGTATTTTTTTGATTAATTACCAAGTAATACAGTCCACTCCTCTACATTTATGGTCGCTTCGACCACGGATTTGGATTTGCAATATAAATCTCAGTTTTACATCCAAAGACGTATAAAATCTCATCACGCACAATTTTCGCCAAAATTGGAAATTGCTTATCACGTTATCACTGGCCGGCAAACAGCCCGTACCGTCCATATCATTCTTTGTGCTATCGATACAACGCAGCCGGCGATACGACCATACACGCTTGACGTAGTTCCGCCGTTCATTATTGCTCTGGGTCGATTATAATTACCCGTAAATTGGCGATCGGTTTTGGTAGCAATTTATATCAAGTGCTGATAATTACTCAAACATTTAGCGAATAGTTTATATTTAATTAATTGATTGTTTCTCCTTTTCTTTTCAGAAAATGCCCACTTATTCATTAAATGTTTGACTTTTCTCTCTCTCCTTTTAGCAAGTTAATTATTTATTGCACCCATCTCTTCTTTATTGCAATTTTGTTCAAGAATTTGATTTACAAGCACATATTAGTGTGCACTGACTGTTTGAGAGTTTTTTAAAAATAGAAGTCAAGAACGCCCGCTAACTTATAACGCTTTTTTCATTACAATTGTTGAATTTTTGAATTTATATATCTTTGTGTCTAAGAGCTTTATCATTATGGCTGATAAAAAACTCAAAGGACTTATTGCTCAGCGCGACAGTGCAGTTGATCGCCTAGCGCAAATTAAAATAGTGGCCGATAAAGCTGTTCTTGATGCCCGCTATCACATACAATTAAAAATTCGTGTCCAGACCCTTGAAGCCATTGTGGCTGATTTTAATACTCATCATGCTAACGTGTTAAATATTGTTGCCCAGGGTGACGAAGACGATTTGGCAATTCAACAAGAAATACGTCAACGTTTTGATGATAATTTTTATGCAATTCAGGCAATATGTGCTGAAATAAATGAAAATGCTGATCAAATTACTCACAGACCAACGCCGAGTCACGTTAAACTACCCAAGCTGGAACTTAAAAAATTTAATGGCACTATCAGGAATTGGACCACGTTTATTGATTTATATGATTCAATTATTCATAATAATTCTAGTCTTTCCAATGTGGAAAAGTTTACATATCTTCTAAACTCTTTAGAAGGTCCACCCCTTGGCATTGTGCAATGTAATCCATTAACGGATGCAAATTATATCATAGCTTATGATACTCTAAAACGGCGCTATGAGAACAATCGCTTAATCGCTGTCAGTCATTGGCGCGAAATTGAAAAAACCAAAAAATTAACGAGTGATCGTGATGCAAAATCTCTTCAAATGTTGATTGACACTTTTACTGAGAACCTCACAGCTATTAAAAATCTGGGCCATCCCGTGTCCCAGTGGGACTTTATTTTATTTTATAAGCTTTTCGATCGAATTGATTCGAGCACGGCTACTAGATTTGAACTTGAATGTGGTAAGTTACTTGATGACATAGAGAATAAACATAACCATTTTAAGATTTTGTTGGATTTTGTACGAAAACAATGCGTTGCCTTAGATACTGTTTCAAATTCGCTTGTTAACGTTAATGCTGTTAAGGAGGTAAAACAAAATTCCCCACCAAAAAGAAGTTTTGTTGTTAACACGGTTGCCTGTTCCTTTTGTCACAAGAATGGCCACAATATTTATAAATGTTCAGATTTTCTAAATAAGAACTCTCACGACCGATATAAAATTGTAAAAACCAATAAATGGTGTACCAATTGTCTGGGTTTAAAGCATAACTCCTTTAACTGTTCCTCTAGGCGCCGGTGTGAAAAGTGCTCAAGGCCTCACCATACTCTTTTGCATCATGACTACCCTGAAAGTACTCAACCCCATTTAAATGAAACCCAAGAATTGCCTCCAACCTCAGAAGAGCCATCACACCCTGTGGCCTTGGCGAATACTAAACAGTACAATGAAGGTCGTAAGGAAGGAGCTGTATTATTGGCTACAGCGCAAGTGATAGTTGTTGATTCTCGAGGTAATTTCATAAAAGCACGCGTATTATTAGATAGCGCCAGTCAGGTTAATTTTATAACCAATAAATTATGTAAACGTTTAGGTCTCATTAAACGTCCCCTCTCACTTTTTGTTAAAGGTTTAGGTGATACCGTCTCGAATATTTCTCATGAGGTCACTTGCACCTTTTCTCCTAAACGGGCAATGAACACAAAGTTCTCTCTGGAATTTGCAGTTATACCACAGATTTGTGGAAATCTCCCCTCTTCTGATTTACCTTCAGATTGTTTTTCTCAATTCTCTCATCTTGAACTTGCTGATGACGCCTTCAATATTTCGGGCCCTATTGACATGTTAGTCGGAGGTGACGTTTTTGGTTTTCTTGTCAAACAAGGACAAATATCTCAGTCAATAGGAAAGCCTATCGCGCTAAACACTCAACTTGGGTGGGTAATAATGGGTCGTGTTCCTGTAACTGATTCAGTCTCTTATTCAACCCCAAATAGCTTTTGTGCCTCTTTAAGCTTCTCTCTTAATGATATGGTAAAAAGGTTCTGGCAACTCGAACAGATACCTAATTGCACTGCTCACTCGCCAGACGAAATGATCGCGGAGAAGTTCTTCCAAGATACTCATACTCGAGATGCTTCTGGGAGATATATTCTTCAACTACCCTTTCAAAACTCTGATCTACCCTTTTTTGAAAATACACGAGAGATTGCACTTCGTCGATTTTATTCTCTTGAAAGGCGACTACAATCTAATCCTCAACTCTATGATGACTATTGTGCTTTTATGCGTGATTATCTTGACACGGGACACATGGAAGTTATCCCTGCATCAGATATTTCTCCAAATGTTTATTATATTCCCCATCACTGTATTCTTCGTCCTAACAGCGCAACGACGAAGCTTCGTGTTGTTTTTGATGCGTCCGCGAAGGCCGCCAATAATATTTCTCTAAATGACACTCTTCTCGTTGGCCCTAAGCTTCAACAGGATATTTTTCAGCTACTATTAAGGTTTCGTACTCACCAAGTGGCATTTACTGCTGATATCAAACAAATGTTTAGGCAAATTGGCATAAATGAATCTCACCGCTGCTATCAAAGAATTTTGTGGAGGTTTTCGAAATCTGAGCCTATCAGTGATTATCAGTTAAACACCGTCACATATGGGGTAGCTTCATCGCCCTATCAGGCTATTAGGACTCTCAGACAATTGTCTAAAGACTATAAGTCGGAGTATCCACAGGCATCGAATGTACTAGAGCAGGATACCTTTGTCGACGACGTTGTCAGTGGTACCGATTCTGTTGAGTCTTCCCTTCTGCTTCAGCAGGAATTGATAAATCTACTTTCGTGTGGTGGTTTCGAGTTGAGGAAATGGGCGAGTAATAACCCGCTGCTGCTCTCACATATGGATAGGTCGCTAACCCAATTAGATCCTCTCTCATTTGATAAAGACAGCGACTCCACTATAAAAATTTTAGGATTACAGTGGAACCCACTCAATGACTCTTTTGTATTTAAAATAGAAACTAATATAAACACATGCACCAAAAGACATGTTTTGTCTGATTTAGCTCGAATCTTTGACCCTCTCGGATTTTTATCCCCAGTTACCCTCTCTTTAAAGTTGGTTATACAACATTTGTGGTCATCTGGCTTGGATTGGGATCAATTAGCCCCAAATTCTATTCGAGACTATTGGTCCTCTTTCAAAGAAGGTTTGTCAACCCTATCAGATCTTCAGTTACCGCGCAAAATTATCCCTCCTCAAATGAAATTGTGCGAAATGCACGGCTTTTGCGATAGCTCGGAAAAGGCATATGCTGCTGTTGTATATTTTCGAATTGTTACTGAAGACAATAATGTCACAACTAATCTCATATGCGCTAAAACTAGAGTAGCACCTCTGAAGAAAATTTCTATTCCTAGGCTAGAACTGTGTTCAGCTGTGTTATTGGCAGATCTTATGTCATCAGTCAGGAAATCCTTTGCTGGTTCTGTACCTATCTCCTCAATTTTTGCTTGGAGTGATTCTACAGTCGCTCTAACCTGGATAAGGTCTTCTCCTCACAAATGGACTACATTCGTCAGTAATCGAGTGTCGTATATTCAGGAAAAAGTATCGGCAGATTCTTGGTCTCATGTCAAGTCTGAGAACAATTCCGCGGACTGTGCCACTCGAGGTCTTCTTCCCCATGATTTACTCCATTTAGAAAAATGGTGGGCGGGACCATCTTTCCTTAAATCTCATTGTGATGCATGGATAAATGAAAGATCTACAGTGAGTGATGACAATTTGGATCTTGAAAAAAGGAAAATTGCATTATTAGTTTCTTCAGTCCCACGTCTTAGCCTATGGGATAATCTACTTACCAAATTTTCTTCTCTTTCGAAAATTCTTCGAACTTGTGCTTATGTTTTACGTTTTGTTTCGTACGTAGAAGACCCCAAAGGCTTTGATAAAAGGAGTCATGTTACCTTGAAAGAACTGGATAGAGCTCTTTTGATTCTAGTAAAAGAATCCCAAAAAATGTCGTTTGCTAAAGAATTGGCAGAACTTTCTAAAACCACTCCTAACATTAGATCACTCCCTAAATATATACGGAAGCTAACTCCTTTTTTGGATCAGGATGGTATCCTCAGGGTGGGCGGACGGCTTAAAAATACACCCCTTTCTTATGATCATAAGCACCCCTGTTTGTTGCCTAGTGACCATCGACTAACTAATCTTATAATAGAATACACTCATATTAAATATTTGCATCCTGGATTGCAGACTACTCAATTTTTACTTAGCCAGCGTTTTTGGATACCCTCTTCGAAAAGAGTTATAAAAAAGGTTTTGTCTTCCTGCTTGCGATGCTTCAAATGTAATCCCTCTTCTTGCACACCTCTTATGGGTGATTTACCTAAATTTAGAGTAAATAAAATTAAATGTTTTACCAAGTCCGGTGTTGATTTTGGAGGCCCATATCTCGTAACTATGGGCAAACATCGTGGTAGTAAATCAATCAAGGCTTACATTTGTCTGTTTGTTTGCTTAGCCACCAAAGCTCTTCACCTCGAGCTCGTCACTGAGCTTTCTAGTGATGCCTTTCTCGCTGCTCTAAGACGATTTATTTCCCGGCGAGGTATTGTCACTGACATATACAGCGATTGTGGTACGAATTTTGTAGGAGCCTCTAAACAGCTGATGCAAAAAATGCGCGGTGCATCTGTAGATGAAGGTATCGCATGGCATTTCAACCCTCCGTCGGCTCCAAATTTCGGTGGTATTTGGGAGGCGGGAATAAAGGCGGTAAAAGGTCACTTAACTCGTGTAGTTGGTTCTCACATATTGACTTACGAGGAATTTAACACTGTCCTAATTTCAGTAGAGGCAATTCTAAATTCTCGCCCGTTATGCGCCATGAGTTGTGACCCTAACGATATAAAGGCCTTAACACCTAGCCATTTTTTGAATTTAGAACCATTAAATTCTTACATAGAACCTGATTTAACAGATCTTAAAATGAATCGTCTATCACGTTGGCAACTTATCCAACGCATACATCAGGATTTTTGGAAGAGATGGCATGCAGAGTATTTGCACACTCTTAATCAAAGATCAAAATGGTATGATATGACAGTTGCCATTAAAACCGATTCTCTTGTTTTAATACGAGAGGAAAACTCTCCACCACTCCATTGGGCATTGGGACGAGTGATAGAGTGTTTTCCGGGCGCGGACGGCGTCACGCGGGTAGTTAACGTAAAAACGCAAAAGGGCATCCTGCGGCGTCCTGTGTCGAAGTTATGTTTATTACCGAACAATTAATAATTTTTTTTTCATTCTATTTTCATAATTTTAGGATTTTTTTCTCTTTTATAAAATATTAGATATTTTAGGTGGGCGGTATGTTCAGTCAAATCAGAAATTATTTTTGTTATTAATTAATTGTAAACTGAGATTTATACAAAATATATTTAATTTAAAATTTCCCTGGCTCGATGTTATCGCGTTTAGCAAGACAGCCTTGTTATTGTCCCCGCCGAGAAGAGTCGCGCGCATTCGCCAAGAGGAAGTTTTTGGACTTGATCTGCAAGACTCAACAAAACGCGTGCGCTGATATAAAAGGTACAGTCTCTTGTAAAAGTAATGTCCCTCGGATACCTACCACTGTAGCATAGGCAACCAACATCCCAGCCGCCTAGTCCAAGTTGGATTTGCGGGTGTGCGAGGTAGCTATCTAATGCGGTTCATTTTCAGCAGATATTCCCATTTAGCCAAACTAAATACTAGTTAGTAGAATAAAAGTGAATGCCATCGATTTATTAGCTCAAAGGATTTGCGCTGCATATCCTTGGCTTGGTGCAGTAAACATTTTTACATTTCTTACAATTGGTTTGGTGCGTTTTAAATTTGCAAATAGTTTAGCTAGAGACTATTAAGACAAAATAATGGCCTTTCACTTTTTAATTTTTTGAGTAGGTTTTCTTCTAACGAAATAAAGGTGACATTCTTGTCCTTTAATGACATTGAAATTCCAGTGTCATTAATAATTACTTGCGAGTAGGTCTCCTCATGGAATGCGATTAATTGCCCTACAAGTGCACTGTGCAACAATACCTTTCTTTTGTAACTAGCATCAGAAATTAAATGATATGCATTTGTGATACTTGGTCGTGGTTGATTTAATATCGAATTTAGTTTAGGAGAGCTTTTACGTTGCATATTTTTGAGTAGGTAGGCATATTATAAGGATATTTAGTCCAGGTTATAGGTATATTTTTTGACAAAAAAAATTAGTTACCAGTTAAACCGGCTTTTTCATGCAGGTGAAATGATTAGAAATTAGGGAAAAATAATTAAAACAGTTGAATTTTTCCGCGGGTGTCATCCCGGGGTTTGAAAGGAGTGGGAGGTGGTAGTTACAAAAGGAACGGCATTGTCGCGCTTCCAGTGCAGATAATCGCATTCCATTAGGAGGCCCGAGTAATTAATAATGAGACATCAATTTCAATGTCAGTATAAAACGACAAAATCATCACATTTATTTTGTTAGAAGAAAATCTACTCGAAAAAATTAAAAGTAAAAGGTCATTATTTTAGCTAAACTATTTCCAAATTTAAAACGCACCAAACCAATTGAAAGAAATGTAAAAATTTCTATTGTATTAAACCAAGGATAGATTAAAGCAGCGCAGATCTTTGTGGGAATACCTGCTGAAAACGAACCGCATTAGATACCTACCTACCTCCCACACCCGCAAATCCAACTTGAACTAGTCGGCTGGGATGTTGGTTGCCTATGCTACAGTGGCAGGTATCCGAGGGACATTACTTTTACAAGAGACTGTACATTTTCTCTCTCGTGTGTGACACCCCCCAAAATACTTGACAAGAAAAACGTGCACCAAAATCGCCCATCATCCACTTACTGCGCGGACAGCCAGGTAGGCAATTTTTGTTTTAATAACTAATAAGGTTGTCTTTGTGCGTATTTTTTTGATTAATTACCAAGTAATACAGTCCACTCCTCTACAGCGCTAGTATTCCGAGTGTCATGTATTCGTTAAAACTCATCTTTTCTAACTCATCTTATAAAAAACCTTATAAAGTAATTACGTAACGCAAAGTCCTACTCAACTGAACGTCAACTTTAATTAATGGAAACACGAGAAAGTTAATGTTATTTCAGTACATTCCACGTAATTGAGTGTCAAAAACATAATTTAAAAAAAACGGGTTCAAGTAGAACGCGAATGCTTTCCTCCGCAGAAATATACACAAACTCTTTTAAAATACTTTCCACGCGGAAAAGCTGTAAGGTAATGTAAAATTTCGCATACCGAGTTTAATGGTAGTAGCACTTTAATACGTGTTTTACCTTCATTAAATAATCCAATCGGTTTCCAAAGGTTTTCTTTCGCGGACTATCCTCTAATTAATTGAAAAATCGTAAAATAAAACTACAAAGAAAATTTAATCTTCGTTTAAGTCGTAATGCTTGCCCGTTTAAATATGAAGAAGCTTTTATTATGCCTGCAAAAGGTCTCAATTAAAACTTACAACATTTTAAGTGAAGATTGAAATTAACATTCTTCTGTGGTTTTTCAATTCAGTATATTTTAATAGAGTATGAATTTATAACGTTCCAATTGGCGTACATAAATCGTTAAATTCAAATTATATAGATATTTATTTTTGCATGTAAATTGTTCATAAAAATACCATCTTGGAAAAATTCTACAACTATTAGTCTAACACTTCCATTGAAACAGACTAATGAACTGGTGCATGTTTCTTTTAAATAGAAGCAATTTTCGTTGAGAGGAACTAACTAATCTCATAATTCTAGGGTAAATCAACACAAAAATTAAAACTTTGAATTCTGTTAATGGTTCATTACATCGTCTCCACTGCTATACGAGTTGCGCTATTTACTTTTTAATATGAAAGCAAATATTAAAGTATCAAACGGCGTATGAATACACAAATATACTCGTACATAGAAATAACTTACTAGGCCGACTGAAATAAACGCGTGTTTTTCTATTACGTTCTGATATAGCCAATTTTTTAACGATTTGAATTCAGTACCTTTGAAATACACGTTTTACTTAACATACAAAATTCTTTCCCACAATCAATTTGAATAAATATCAACGTATAAACGAAGCAACATAAAATATGGTTGTTCCTTAAATCCATTTTCAACAAACTACATGCGAAATTAGAACACTCACTAGTAGACGGCGGACACTTTGTAACCCGAAGTAACTTTTGTTTGAAAAGTTATTTTAAGCCTTTCGTAATACCATGGTAAAAAACTTTCATTAGATACCAAGCGGGGTACAAATATACCCCACCCCTTTTTTGTATCAGGAGCTCTAAACATTTATTGTTTAAATAAAGGGCAGACAAAAAAGTACATGTTTGATTAATTTTTAACTATAAATTTATTTATTGCATGAATTACAAATTGTTGTAATGTTAGAATGTTCGGCACATACGAATTTTGAACACTGGACGCAATGTTTTCTAGACTTTTTATCAGCATTCCTCGGACATATGTGACATCGGCCACTTTTTTTCTGATTTGGAACCTGCTCTCTATTTTCCTTATCTGTTTTCAGTTCAGGTAAAACGGTTACCATATTTTGCTTAATTTTTTCGTGCAATGAACGATCCTTATTATAGCGGCAAATAATATTATTTCTTACTAATTGATGACCTAGTTCCAATAAAAACATTCTTCTTTTATCTAAACGACCTTTTTTCCACTCTGGGTTAGCATGAATCCACAGTTTGTAAGCATTGATAGCTACAATATCCAGCAAATGGAAGAAAATTGCCATAGGCCACCGGTTGGTCTTCCTTTGGGTGGTGTATTCTTTAGCAAGTTTGTCAGTCGTGTCTACAGCTCCTTTGGTTTTATTATAATGTAGTATTATATCAGGCTTATAATCATTATCAGCACCACTTATTTTGTCGTCTCGATGTTCAGTTGACAAAAGAACGACAGCGGAGTTTCTCTTTGGAACGTACGAGACCAGTGTTTTGTCTTTCATGAAGGCAAACATACTTGAAAAATCTTTTTTGTACCTGGCGGGAAGTAACTCGCTAGGTATATATGGCTTATTTCGCCGTAAAGTTCCACATAGTGTTAGGTTCCTCTGTAACAATTTATCTGCCAGTTCAATACTGGTAAAGAAATTGTCAGTAGTAATTCCATATCCCTGTCCTAAATGGCTTACCATATCCAAGACCACCCTCTGACCTTGACCCTTTTCTGGTTTGTTACCAATTTTTCCTAAAAAAAAACAAAATGTAAAAACACCAACAGATTTTTATAAGAAAAGTGTTACCTAGGTAAACCTGCATATTTACTGTGTAGGCAGTTTCACAGTCCGCAAGAGCCCAAATTTTGATCCCATATTTGTCGGGTTTACTCTTCATGTAAACCCTGAATGGAGCCTTTCCTCGGAATGGAACTAGCTGTTCGTCAACACATAAATGACCGTTCGGATTGAAAGATTTTTTACAATTCGATACAAATATATCGAATATATCCCGTATTGGTGCCAATTTGTCAACAGTTTTTCGTTCTTCGCGAGTTTCAAAATTATCAAATCTCAAAAAACTCATTATTTGCTGAAATCTGTTGCGAGACAACGAAGCTGATACTATTGGACGACACAAAACTGGGTCTTGACTCCATAAAACATAAACTGGTTCCTTGTTACCATGAACAGCTCCAAAATTTATAAGAAGACCAAGAAAAGCGTCCATCTCTTCTTTTACTATTGGAACAAACGCTTTGTTTTTTTTGGAATACACAAATTCGGCTTTTCTGTTAGTTTCTCTCAAGATTATATTTATTACATCTTCAGAGAAGAATAGATCAAACGCCTCCTTTATAGATGTAAATTTCGAACTGTATTGTGTTCGACCCGATGGCAATTTTTGTATGTTATGTTTTGCCCTTTTTACTCTCGTAACGTACGGTATTTTAGCCCATTCGGAACCGTCCTTCGCTATATAACGTAAATTCTCGCCGCCCTCAGAAACAGATTCGCTTACCAGATCCACTTCATTATCACCAATGAGCAAGAGGTCATCGACTTCATCATTTTCATCCACAACATCAGTCTCTTCTATATCACTTGCAGCACCTTCCAAGGCTAAATCGTTTTCAAAGTAGTAATCAAATTCCTCTGTCTCTAATATTCGAAGCAACTCGTCATCGGTAAGTTTGTTTTCATTACGAAATTTAGGTTTTTCACTCATTTTCAGGAATATCAAATCTCACACTATTATAAATCTGACACTAT